AATAAATTAGTAAATAAATAACAGATAAATAAATAAAATAATAAAGAAATAAAATCTGTTCCTCTAGCCCACAGCCTAACTGAAAATATACCCAACAGGCATACTCGGGTAATGGAAAAAAATGTACTTGGCTTTCCAGAATTCTGTTGCTTCTCAGTGTGTTCATTTGGTTACTTGATTGCTTTATTTTGGGGAAAAAATACATTTCCTATACCAATGCCTTACCTTGAGTGTATTTTTCTGAGTTTTCAAAAATCTAACTGTGTAGACTTCTTACATATTTGCTGCTGTGGAATAAATAGAAAAAGTCCCCTCTAAAAAGCTTGGACCCAGTTGGTGGGTTTTTATTTGGGAGCTTCTGGAATAGTCTCTGTGAAGGGTTTCATCACAGTGAAGCAAAAATAATTACCAGGAGCTACGGAGACAGCTTGGCGGGTGAAATACTGGGCCCACAAGCATGAGGGGCTGAGTTCACATCCCTGTCACCCACGTGACAGGCAGATGTAGCTGCAGATACTTGCAACCCCAGCACGGAGGGGCAGAACAGGTGAACCCCGCAAGTCCTCAAGGCCTCCATCCTACCAATGCTGCCATCTTCCCGTCCAGTAAGGGAGCCAACTTCATGAGCATAAGGCCAGAAATGGTAGAGGAAGGCCATTAACATCCTCTTCTGGCCTCTGCATGCATGTGTGCAGGCTTGAATACCCTGGAACTCACACACGTGCACCACACACACAACACACACTTCACGCCACACCTACAAATACAACATGCCCTCTAAGCATACAAAAACAACATGAGAAAATAAAAGTAACTAGCAGAGTCCGGAAATTAGTAGGTTAACGGAGAAGTCATAGGATAAAATAAAAACATGTTAAAATACATTTAACAGGACCAACAGTCTTTAAGAAGAGCAAAGAGGAAAGGCAAACAAGGAAGAAAATGATTTATATAAGTGCTATTTAAGGGAATATGAAACCACCAAAATTACTTAAATTAAGACCAGAAGCCAAAGAAATATATTATGCATCCATGAATATCTAGTAATGGGTAGGAAGGCCTAAGATGAGGAGAGGTAACTAAATAAACATTAACACTGTGAGAACAATATAGTATCTTGTCTTGTTCAGCTGAAAATAGGCCTAAAATCTTCGAAAACACTCCAGTAAGTTAAACAAAATAAAATTACCTACCAAGAAATCTGGGTAAGTTTGTCTGGTACAGTGTGAATATTTAACAAAAATAGTAATAAATATTGAGAAGTTAAAGTGGGGGTAAATCTCATGATAGTAGCAAAAAACCAACACATTTGGTGAAAAATTGAGTAAGAATGGGATGGGAGACGCACACAGATAAAATGGTTAATAAATGACAGTGACACTGAGTCACTGGGATGGTTTCAAACCTTTTAATGACAAATGTAACACTGAGATGTCAACCTTCACAATTAATATTTGAGTCTAGCATGATTATATTAATAGTACCAGCAAATATTATACGGAAGAAAAAAGTCCAAAGAATAAAAAAGCTAAACAACTGATGCAAAATTTAGGTCAATTAAGAAAAGACCCGGTGGCAATAAAATCAAATCACAAAACAATGAGTAATTGTACTACGATACGAGACACACGGCAGAGAGTGAGAGTGGGTAATGAAGGGAGGGAGGGGGCTTTGATGTCGGGAAAGATGACAGCAAAGTATACTTGACAAAGTGCTCAGTGAGTGATTTTCAGTTTGTGGGACATGCAACAACTATGCATGTCTGACTTCACATTTCAGGGATTAAATAGGAAAGCAGATCTTCCATTTTCTTCAAATAAAACGGCTGTTCCTTATGCTCATGGGAAACATAACAGAAGCTAAACTACCCATCCACTCCTACCCTGTATTGGTTTTCCAACTTCACCAGAAGAAATTAACAAAAATTTATGACTGAAAACCCAAATTCACCTCCTCACCATACTGAAGACCAAACTGGGATTCACCATAATGGTTTAACATTGTGGTTTAAATCATGATTCTGCTGCATTTTTCTTCAAACGTGATTGCTTTTTTATTTCTGAATAGTGTTCCAATTTATGAGCACCTGGCATCTATATCTTTCACACCCAGACCAACACAGAATATCAGGACCTCACTTCTAGAACTTTTGTGTAGTCATCTTTATATAGCCATGTGCTTTCATTGCTCTTTCAAAAATAACAAGAAAGAAATTGCTGGGTTATAGCATAAGTGTATTCTAACATGGACAGAAACAGAGCTTCTCACATATTGTCCTGACTGGCTTCTTTCTCCTCAATTAGACATTGTCTACGATCTTTCTACAGTGTAAGGTGGTGTAGTTACTATTATTCTGAATTCAGGCCCTTTAGATGGAAAGTAGGAACATTCATGTACAACTAACGTACAAAATAGTTCATTTAACATCCTCCTAACAGACCATAGATGAATATATCCAAGGAGGCAGGAGCCATTTCCTATTTCTTCTTACTCAATTCTGGGTAAGTGCATGTTTCTATAGTAAAGTAAATTGAACTAATATTTAGGCATTGGAAGCATTGTATGAAAGTTAAAAATATAATTTTTAGGGCTGGAAAGAGGATGCAGAAGAGTGGTAGCTGCACTTCCAAGAGGACCCAAGTTCTGTTCCCAGCAACCTCATGGGGCAGCTTAGGAGTGCCTGCAGCTATAGATCCAGGGGGTCTAGTGCCCTCTTCTGGTCTTTGCAGGCATCAATGTCTAGGTTTACATATACACCGCTCAAAGTAGAATAAAACATTCAGAAATATATATATTTATACACACATACATAATTTCTTCTGTTATTTTTGAATGTATATAATTTTATCACTTAAACTATAAGTTAGCAAAATCTATAAAACCAAGTAAAAACTGGCAATGTTATCTATTCCCTATTTCTCCTTTGGCTAGTTGTAAGAACTCTTTTCAGCTTCCAAGCAGAATAGAATGTGGTAAAAGGGAAAAGGGAAAATGCCCACCAAATGTATATGTTTGTCTTCTTGACATGTATTAAAATTGACACAAAATCACCCTCCTCCTGAGCTGTCATTCCTGAAATCCTTGTCTGGGAAGCAGGGACCTCTCAGTCCCTTCGAATATGGCTGTTTCCTTCCACCTGTGAAGTTAGGGCTGCCTAGGACTGTGGATAGACTCTTAATTCAAAAGATGACTTCTAAATTGTGTTCCTTCAGGTCACCTCAGGCTGTGACAGTGTGGCCAGAGGGAGAATACTGCCTCTGTGGGAGTCAAAACTGGTGTCAGGAGCCTGGAAATGAGCCACAGGAAGAGAAGACATCGTGGTTTAGTGGAGGATGCTTCCTGTCTTTCTACTTAATTTTACAAAGCAGATTACAAATGGCTGATTATAAACAAAATCTTGATACATGGTTCTAAGCTCCAAATGAATTCGTTCCAGGTTAATGCAGCAGAAACAGTCATACAGATGTTGAGCATCTTAGGCAAGAATTCTGGGTATGACTTGACTCTGCTGCCTCCAGATGTTTGATACTCTACCAGAAAAATGTAACATCATCAGAGAGGTGGAATTTCAACAGTTACCATTCAAGTCACATGCTCCAACGTCCCCCAGAGGAAAACGGTGGCCACAGCAGCAGTCCACAGAGTTCAGCTGTCTCTCAGAATGAGCCTCGAACAAGCACGTTAGTAATGGAAACGCTGTTGGTTTTCCATAGGGAAACCAGTATAGCACTTCATCAGTTTTAAAAGCAGAAGACCAGCTTTGAGTGGTCCAGATATTGGTAGCTAGGCAACAACCACTCCAGCTGGATCACTTTGCATGTTATTCTAGGACTGCCCTCAAAATAGCATCCTTCAGTCTTATCTGGTCTGCCCCAGAATACACTGGCTTCTCTTTCACTGTGAAGACAGGTATTATGGGAATGCATGTATGCCAAAGGCATTGACAAAACAGTAACCACTGTGATGACATGGAGATGACTATCACATGAGTCCTTGTCAGTGAGGGTAGCCCTCACAGAATGGTCAGAGGAAAGGAAGGAGGCTTGCTTGGCTCCTTCTAGTCTTCCCACTCTTGAGAATATGGCTTTCATCCCCTCTGAGGAGTCATGCTGTCATCTTACAGATCAAGACAGGACCCTCTCAAGACACCAACCCTGCTAGAGCTTTGATCCCAGACTTCCCAGTCTCTAGAACTATAAGAAAGAAATTTCTGATTGTTGTAAATTATCCAGCCTCAGGCATTTTGCTATAGCAGCAAAGAGAGAGCAGGACATTAATTATTCTATTTTTTTCCATGAGCTTTCTCTCTTCTTCTAGGAAGCTGTACTTGCCTTGGGTGCCAGAAATCCCCAAAAGGTCGACTCAACACAGCCTCCCCTGGTGCAGTCAGTCAGTCAGTCAGTCAGTTTGTCAGTCAGATGAATCAGTCATTCAGTCAGATGGCACCAGTGTCTGTCAGTCAGACGGCAGCTTTGAGGAGCCTTCCTCAAAATCATTTGCTGTGTCTAAAAACCTGAAGACTCAACTTCACGAGAAGCACCGTGTCCTAGTTAGGATGACTACCGCTGTGATGTGACACCGTGACCAAAGGGAGCACTGTTTACTGGTTTGCTCAGGCTGCCTTCTTCTAGAACCCAGGACCACTGGCCAGGGATGACTCCACCCTGACCCTCCCCCATCAATCACCAATTAGGAAAACGCCTTACAGTCAGGTCTTATGGAGGCATTATCTTGGTTGAGCTTCCCTCCTTTCCAATGACTCCAGCTGTGTCACACTGACATAAAAACAGCCTGCACAACTGACTCCTTCTCAGCCAGAACCTTGCCTCTCATTGTTTGCCACAATCATTGGTTAATGGCAACACCAAGGCTCCTGAGAAGGGGTCAGCTAGCTGCTCTGGCTGGTTGAGTACTATTCAAGAAGGTAGATCGAGGTCACAGTCATAACCTGAACAAAGCAAAACAAACCGCAATGGTGTAAATCACTGAATGTCCAGTACCTGGGGCTCTCCATATTCTAGGCTCCTCCCTGGGGTCTGGGTCACGTCTCTGGTCTGCCCTCTGCAGCTCACACAGCTCGTCTCATGACACTGGGCTGCCTCCACTCCACTGCTTCTGCTGTTCTTGGTGGTCATCCCATGGTGCTGGCATCTCTTACTGCAACCGGTTGCACTTTCAGCAAAGCCTCTACTGGGCTCTCCTTAGCCATCCAGCCCCGCCTTATGTGCCAAGCCTTGCTGCGTTCCTTGACCCTTTCACGCCTCCAAAACTGGTACCACCTGGGTCACTACTGAGTTGGGCTGACTCTGAGCACACACTTCCCAGACTTCACCCGAGTGAAGCTCCTGTCTCAATCACAGCTGAGTCTCCGGGCCCAGCTGACCAACATCTACTGTCCCAGCAAAACCACGGGTTCTGGTCTCTCGTTAGTCACAGCTGATTCTTCAGCCCAGTTTACCAGAACTACAGATTCTCAACTCAAAACAGCTAACAGCCCAGAGAGAATCTTTGCATGACTCTCAACCTTCCATCTGGAATTGCACAAGCCAAGCCTCCTTCCTCTGCACTGCTCAACATTCTTATTTGCCAAGCTCTCACAGAACAGCTCGCCAAGGTCGCAACACTCAATGGCTTTTCTAACTCAAAGTTCTGGAGTCCTTCCACAATACTCCAAAAAAAAATAACTTGGTCAGGCTTGTCATAGTAGTACCCCACAATCCTGGTACCGACTTCTCTTCTAATTGGGGTGACTATTGCTGTGATGACGTACCATGACAGAAATCAACTTGGCGAGAAAAAAGTTTATTTCATCTTACATTTCCAGGTGACAGTCCATCACTGAGAGAAGTCAGGGCAGGAACTCAAAGAGGACAGGAACCCAGAGGCAGGAGCTGATGCAGAGACCATGGAGGGGGTGCTACTTAGTGGCTTGCTCCTCATGGCTTGTTCAGCCTGCTTTCTTATATAACCCAAGACTACCAGCCCACAATGGGCTGGGCCCTCCCTCATCAATCACTGATTAAGAAAATGCTGGATCTTGAGGAGCCATTGTCTCAGTTGAAGTTCTCAAGCTTGGGTCAAGCGGACATTACACCAGCCAGCACGCACTGCTTCGCCTACTGGGAGGAAGGAGAGTGGTGGGAGGAACTGAGAGAGAAAACAGTCACCTTTTGGCTTCAGCCTCCTCTCAAACACAGGCAACAGACCAACACACACATGCATGGCAAAACAAAAGCAAAGCGACAGAGGCCAGTTTCCACTCACAGGGAACAATGTAATCACAGGGACACTCTTAGACACTGTCCTTCTGTCTGTTGAGTGACAGTGGCACAAGCATCATTACTGAAGGCTTCCTACAGTAGGAAGGAGGATTGTGTGCCTGGGGAGGGGAGAATAGAAAACACAGTTTCTAGCCAAAGCCACAAAAAACAAAAACAAAAACAAAAACCCAAACAGGAGCCTTGGAGTATTTGTGAAGCCTTCAGCTTCTCGAGTCAATATTTCTAGCAGTTAAAATCTGGAATGACCAGATTATCAGCATCTCCTGGGGATTAGGTAGGCCCCTGGAAATCCAATTAATAAACAACCCTCTGGGTGCATTTTGTCTTTATTAAACCATGAATCCATATATTAGGAATCGAGCCCAAAATAGAGCAGGCTCATAGACTTGATGTATTATGAAAAGCTGTACTGCTTTTGAAGGAAGGGAGTTAGAAATACATGTCTGGGAGTTTTGATTCCACTGTTTTTGATTTGACATTGAACGTCTGATTGATGTGTTGACTTTTTAAGCATCCCTCCACCACTCATTTCTTTTCCATTATTCTGCAGGAGAGACAAAGTCCACCCCAGAATATGTCACACAGCCCAGAAAGGAGAAATTACCCTGCACTCTGAGCAAATTTTACTTCTGCTTCCAGTAAGTCCCCGGAGCTCAGCCATTTTTAGCAATTTCACAGCTCCCCATCCACTCCTCCCCTCGTCTTCCGTGCTGGCTTCTTCACCAGTTTCCTTTCTGCTCTCTCGCAGAAAGTGAGCAGCAGGTTCCTCCTCTTGCCTTCGGGCTTGCTCCTAGCTCCACATCCTTGGCATGAGCACTAGTTATTTCTTGAAACCAGAATGTGGTTAAGTCTTCTACCTGTCTCACGTGAGTCGCTAAATACCAGCCTGGCTTGGTGGAATATGAAATGACTCCTAACTTTCTTTGGCACAGCAACTAGTGCCTCCTTCCTATGCTCCTCAATACCATTCTATGGTATCCATGGCCTCAGACCCTGTCTCTGTCCTTCCTCCATCCCTCCCCCTCCCTGTCTCTCTCCCTCCCTTCCTTCTTTTCTTTCTTCCTCCCTCCTTTCCAACATACACACACACACACACACACACAGAGACAGAGACAGAGAGAGAGACAGAGAGAGAGACAGAGAGAGAAGATAGAATCCTTTTGTCTGTTGAATAACAGTGGCGCAATCATCATTACTGAAGGCTTCCTTCAGTACAAGAGTTGTGAAGAAATCATTTCTTCACGTGAGAAAGCCCTATTCACTCGACCCCTTTGAAGCAATGTCTTTAGCAGGGACCCCATCTGTGCGTCTCCATAAACTTAGGACATTTGCTTACCACTTCCGAGGATACCATGGTATCATTGCCCATGGCATTTTCCTTCCTAGCAGGCTAATCAATGCCCTCTCCTTCCTAGACTCAAGGGGGAAATTGGCAATTTCTTGCAGATCTTTAACCCCTGTGACACAGTGCTAAGCCAGACATACTGAAGAAGGAGCTGACCTAGGGGTCAGTAGTCACTGCTGTCTCTGCTCCCCACACATTCCTCCAGCAGCCGCATGGCTCACTATACTTCTTTCAAGCCGTGGTCCAAACATTACCTCCTCTGTGGCCAGCGAGGCTACCTCGGATAGAGAGAAAAAGACAGAGACCACAAATCTAGCTATCTAACTCCTCTCCAACTCTACAGCAAACAAATAAAAGGCAGAAAGCCATGTGGCTACTAAAAATGTAGCTCCATTATGAAGGCCCACGGCTTCAGAACACTTGTTCTCTTGGGTAGGAGTTCACTGAAACAAACAGACTTTGGTTCTGGGTAGTTTTTCCTCTGTGATGCTTGTTATTTGTAAGTTCTTTATAATAGTTTTAATAAATTTATTTTTAAAACCTCATGTGCTATGACAACTGGTTTATTTTTCAGAATTCACTTGTCTTAGGAGCTAATAGAAAAGACAGTGGCTTAAACACAATGCCAATAACACATAAAATAATTAATAAACTAAGAAAAGAAGGGAATTGACTAACCTCTCAAGATATTGACGAGTCAGCAGGCAGTGTCATACCTCATGATGAAGGACTTAAGATGATTCTACTAAAACCACAATCAAAGAAAAGGTGGGACTAAAATCAATGTCTTTCATGCTGCTGGGTGCTCACAAGAAAGCATCGGGGAAACTAAAGTCAGAATCACAGTAACCAGAGAGATGAGTAGAAATATCGCTCTTCTGAATTGTGATATTGAGCCTAGGCAAGGCCGAGTCAATGGGGAGAAAAAGCTAAGGTTCAGGAGGATGTAGACCTGACTAAAATATATGAAAAGTTTTCCCAAATAGCCTTAATGGTAGCCTGGTAGAAGATGGAATAAAAATATTCTCCTTAAATCTCCAACACAGTGTAACAAAGGAAATAGCAACACTTGTTAGACTGTGTGAAAACAAATATAAACACTTTAAACTGTGTAACAAACGTCAGAAAGCTGAGAGATCATCCTGTTCTTGAAACTGCTGTGTTAATGTTGTTTTTCAATGGCCATTATTCCTAAGTGTCTCCAGTTGTGTTTAATATGATCCCAGCTAGGACTGTAGGATGATTCTCTAGTGCCTAGAAATATAATACTGAATTTCCTCTCTAGAAAAAAATCAGAAAGAAACAAGGATTGTTGTGTCTGGGAAACGCAGTTATGGGGTCAGTCATTTGGAAGGGTCTAGGAATTAAGGCAGATTACAAATATTAGTAAGTGTTGAACGAATGTTGAGACAAAGGTTTATGAAGTTACTTTCCCTCTCTGCTGTGGTTGCACATGAGCTCCCCCTGGAGGCTCCTGCATAGAGGTCCTGACTCCCAGCACTGCTGAGAGGCGATTGATCAAGAGGGTGTCGATAAAATTTGATGAATTAATATTTCCCTGGATTACTGGAAGATAGGGCCTATTTAGAGGAAGTAACACAGCAGTCGGTTTCCTTGCTAATGCTGTTTTTTTCTTTCCCTTCTTTCTTTTTCCAGGCCACCATGAAGTGAGCAGTTTTGCTCCTCTGGGTACTGTCACTAAGAGGATCTCCTTCAACCCCAGCTGGGTCAAACAAGTACACATTTCTGTCCTGGAAGCAGTGACACACACACACACACACACACACACACACACACACACACACACCATGAGTTCTATGTAAAGTAGGAGTGTGCTCTGATTTCTATTCCCTAAGAAATATTCTTTCCTCTTGTTTGACTCAATCTGACTGTGGGACTGGAGAGATGGTCCCCATGTCCTCTGGAGGCCCAGACTAAGGGCCAGCTAGCATACAGGAATCCTCCTTCCAAGACAAACCTGCAGCTGTGACAAGCCCTGTCATACCTTTGATCCGCTATCCTGCTTCTTGATGTCCCATCTCCTGATACAAGTTACACAACCAGTCATGCGTCAATTTTTTTCCATGTTCTTCAACGTCAGCACCATTCATTGCCAACAGTAACTGTGCCTGGCGATCTCTTCAAGCCCAGAGTCTCAAGATTCAGTCAAAATATGTCGTCTAACACGTACTAAGTAGACAGCACCTAATTCGTTTCAGAAATTTGAATGCTTTGCAAGAGAGGGGACTTATTAGTAGGAATTTTTATCCTTAGGCTTCCTGTATTTCTGTGAGGTAAACCTCTTAACACTTTAATAGGAAAGGTTGAGCTGTTTAAAGACACTTATAGGCCTCAGAAAATGTCAGTAAAGCTGGAAGCGACTAAGAACTCTAATTTTAAAACCATCGCTTTTGTTACAGAAACGCAGTGGAATTCCTCATTAATCCATTTCTGTGCATGCAGGTGTGCCTGCCCCTGTGAATGCCCATGGAAACCAGAGGTCAGCGGTGGGATGTTTTCCTTAATCTAGTCTCCATGGGTGGCTGAGAAAGGGTCTCTAATGTAAGCCAGAGATAGCTGTTTCATTTGTTCTGGTGGCCAGGGGCTCATGTGATCTGCCTGTCTCCACTCCTGCCCACCCGTGCTGAGTTTACATGCGTGTGACACTATGGCGGCAATTTACATGGAAGCTGTGATCTGAACCCAGGTCCTCAGGCTTGTCCTCTGAGCCATCTCCCCAAGCCCTGGAAGTCCTTCCAAAGGGAGACAAAGTAGCAGAAAGCAGTCCCCAGGGCAGCTTTAGGACCTGGTGGGATGTGTGTCCTTTAATGTGTGTCTCTTTTGTTTATTTTGTCATTTAAAGAGAGACTCTTGCCAGCCTAATGCAGAGAG